AAAAAAAAAAAAAAAAAAAGGAAAAATTTTTAAAAAGGAAAAAAGAAATATTTTAGGATGCCAGCCACTCTCTAAGGTGGCAGATACTCTTTCCAGACCAGGCAGGCAGCTCAGCCAGTTCTCTAAGAGCAATTGAGCATGATATGAACTAGAAAATAGGATGCAGAGGCCTAAGAAGGAAACTGTATGGGGGCTGAGTAGCTGGGAGCCCCATCTAGAGGGAGGAAAGAGCATGTTCCCATCCCTACCAAAATACCAGGACTGAAAGAGCTCGAGGGCTGCAGATAGCAAACCATTTTATTTTTCCTTGAGACAGGGTCTTGCTCTCTTGCCCAGGCTGGAGTGCAGTGGCACAATCATAGCTCACCATAGCCTCAAACTCTTAGGTTCAAGCAATCCTCCGGGCTTAGTCTCCCAAGCAGCTAGAACTATAGGCATGCACCACCACGCCTGGCTAATTTTAAATTTTCTTGTGGAGACCGGGTCTTTTGATGTTGCCCAGGCTGGTCTCCAATTCCTGGCCTCAGGCAATCCTTCCACCTTGGCCTCCCTAAGTGCAAGGATTACAAGCATGAGCCACTGCACCCAGCCTGTAGATGCCGAATTCTGTAAGTTTGTTGGGAGGGTGGCTGGTAGCCCGGATAGGGTGGAATGGGTTAAGATGGGATGGGATAAGATGTGCTGACTGGGTTGGAGTGAGATGGGCTGATCTAAGGTGGGCTGTGATAGGAGGAGACGGGACGGGAGGTGATGGGCTGAGAATTGGATGGGGATTTGAAGATGGGGCCCACATTGTAAAGGCCTTTACACGAAGCCCAACAAGATGAGAGATGAGGAGTCTGGATTTCGTTCTGCTCAGAGCTGGAGATTTCTTAGCAGGGAAGTAGAGTCCTTGGAATTCTCATGGAGAGATCACTCTGGCAGAGGTGTGGATGATGGGGCTCAGGCGGGAGAGCATGGAGGCCAGGTGTTTCTAAGATAGAAGCAGTGAGGCCGAGACCAGAGGCCAAGGACACCCCCAGGACTCTGTGAAGAACTGGAACTGGGGAGAACCTGGATTCCCTTTCTAAGTCAGGAAACTGAGGCAAGTCCAAGGAGAGCCAGACGCTCACCCACCAGGTCCCAGTGGGAAGCTCAGGTCAGCTCTAAAGGCAATGAGCTCCTTTTTGTCTCTCAGAAGGAACGTGATGCTATCCAGAGACAGGCTTATGTCCCAAGAGAGAAGCATCAAATACTCATGGTGGGACCACAAGAACCACCTTCCATCAGCCAGGACCAAGGGGCTGAGCTATGGCAGCCCCCATGTGTGTATCATGCATCATGATTCTCAGAATACTTCCAGCCAGGGATTTGTTTTGAGGCTTGCTAGAAATCACAGTATCTCCATTTTACAGGGTGAAAGGCTACCAAAGGTGGCTCACCCAGCCCAAGGTGACACAGCCAGCATGTGGCAGCGTCAGGAGGTGAACACAGAAGGGCTGGCCCCAACGCCCCATCATCTTGTGATCTTTCTTTCTTTCTTTTGAGACAGAGTGTTGTACTGTCACCCAGGCTGGAGTGCAGCGGTGCGATCTTGGCTCACTGCAACCTCCGGCTCCCAGGTTCAAGTGATTCTCCTGCCTCAGCCTCCTGAGTAGCTTGGATTACAGGCGCCCACCACCAAACCCAGCTAATTTGTTTGTTATTTTTATTAGAGTTTCACTATGTTGGCCAGGCTGGTCTCAAACTCCTGACCTTGTGATCCACAGCTTGTGATCTTTCTAGAAACACAACATTGTTCCACGCTCTTGACCTGGTTCTCTGGTGGGAAAGAAGCAGGACCTCTTGGCCAGAATAACAAAACAGAGAACAAAGCACGCGCCCCCTGCTCACCTGTGTGCGTGCGGACGTGCCTCTTCAGGTCGAAGGTGTCATTGAAGCCCTTGCCGCAGAAGGCGCACAGGTGTCTCTTCACCTGGTTGTGGCACTTGAGGTGACGGTTGAGCATGCGCTGCAGGCGGAAGCCCTTGCCACACAGGTCGCAGCTGTGAACCACCGAGTCGCTGCACGTGCCTGTAGTGAACTGGGGGCAGAGGGAGGCCATGAGGATCCCCTGACGGGCAGGCACAGCCAGTGGGCTCACACAGGAGACCCACCTCCCTGTGTCTTGAGGCTTGCCCTGTCTGCGGCTTCTGCCTCCTGAAAATTTCAAACAGGTTTTGGCTTTGGGGAAGGTGAAATAACAACTGGCATTTCCTTTCACTTTTTTTTTTTTTTTTTTTTAGATGGAGTCTCATTTTGTTGCCCAGGGTGGAGTGCAGTGGCTCAATCTCAGCTCACCGCAACTTCCATCTCCTGGGTTCAAGTGATTCTTCTGCCTCAGCCTCCCGAGTAGCTGAGACTACAGGTGAGCACTACCATGCCCAGCTAATTTTTGTATTTTTAGTAGAGACAGGGTTTCACCATGTTGGCTAGGCTGGTCTCGAACTCCTGACTTCAAGTGATCCATCTGCCTCAGCCTCCCAAAGTGCTGGGATTACAGGCATGAGCTGTAATCAGTTATAAAGGATCTGATTTGGCAACATTAACGTCACATGTTCAAAGGTTACCAAATCAGACAGTAAAACTGAAGACATCGTTTTCATCAGGCAGGGAGTCCAGACCCAGGTCTGGTTGTGGTTTTACTGATAACAAAGCTGCTTTACAAAATGATAATTGTATTCATTTATGATTTTGTGGGTCAAGACAAAAGCCAGCTCTCCCACTTTTCATTCTCCCCTTCTTCCTTAGAACAGACCTTCGACTTCTAGCTGGGCACACTGTCTTACTGCATCCTACAGGCATGTGACAGGGCACGGATGTCAGGCCCCTCCACATCTCGTGTTGAAATGTGATCCCCAGTGTTGGAGGTGGGGCCTGGTGGGAGGTTATGGGGGCAGACCCCTCATGAATGGCCTCTGCCAGTGGTAAAGAACAAGTTCTTACTCACATCAGTTCACGGAAGACCTGGCTGTTTAAAAGAGCCTGGTACTTCCTCCCCTCTCTCTTGCTTCCTCCTTCACCATATGACACACCTGTTCCCCCTCCACCTTCTGCTATGAGTGGAAGCTTCCTGAGGGCCTCACCAGAAGACACCAGCACTATGCTTCTTGTACAACCTGCAGAACCATGAGCCATAAGCCTCTTCTCTATAAATTAGCCATTCCGAGGTATTCCTTATGGCAACGCAAAATGGACTAAGACAGCATGGCCATGGACTACCTGGACAATGAAACAGAAATCTCCTTGAAGGGGGGCAAACGGCACCCTCCTTCTCCTTCGCTGCTTCCTGCTGGCTAGAGCACCAACAGCCACTTCAGACCATGAGATGGAAGTGCGTGTTGAGGATGGAGGAGCAGAGAGGAGTCTGGGTCCTGATGACATCATGGAGCCTGGCATGTGACATTATAGACAGTCCCCAAAGAGAGCCATAGTCAATTCTGTCCTCCTTGTGCCTGCATCCTGCTCCATCCATCAAGAGATACAGACTGTTGTCCCTCCCTTTGAATCTGGGATCAATAGAATGCGATGAAGATGTGTCAGTTGCAGGTCTTAAGAGACCTCGCAGCTTCCACTTCTTCCCTCTCGTAAGCCAGCTGCCACATAAGAAGTCAGGCCACCATGCATGCGAGGAAGCCCAAGCTAGCCATGTGGACAGCCAAAGGCCACATGGGGGAGCACAGAGGAGCCAGATATGAAGAATGCCTCCTCATTGGACCCTCCAGCCCAACGCAGGGCTGCCACCAGCTGAGCGACCCCCGCTAATGCTACCCAGAGCAGAACTGCCTACCAGAGCTGTGCCCACGGCTTTTGTCTTGACCCACAAAATCATAAATGAATAACATTGTATTCATTGATGACAGTGGGAAAGGGAACTGTGTGCGGTTCAGCATGGCTAGCCTGAGCCTGGTCAGGACCCCACAGCTTTTTTAGCAGTAAATCCACAACCAGACCTGGGTCTGGACTCCCTGCCTACTGCTTTCCACTACCTTTGCTGCCGCTAAGGAAGAACATAGAATCTACCTCTGCGTGACGAAAATGATGTGTTCAGTTTTAGTATCTGATTTGGTAACCTTTGAACATGTGACATGAATGTTGCCAAATGAGATCCTTTAGAAGATGGATCCCGTTGCTCTGCCAAAATTCATCACTAGCAAGAAGACTGGTCCTCTCCTGACTCCACACTCTCCCAGCCTCAAATACTCTCCTCCTTCACCCACTCTGGGTATTGCCCTCCCAGGACCCAGAGTGCTCAGCTGCTCCCTTGCCAATGCAGCCTTCTCCAAATACTGCAGCCCATGACCAAAGAGCTCACTGCCGCACTTAAACCAGTGCCTCTCAGACTCCAGCATACCTATACCTCCCCTGGGGTCTTGTTAAAATACAGTTTCTGATTCAGGAGGTCTGGTAGGGTCGGATGTGCTGCATTTCTAAGCAGGGCCCAGGAGACGCCACTGCAGCTGGTGTACACGCCACACTAGCCCTCAGAAGTCATGCTATATTCCTTCTCATTCCCAAGGTTCACTAAGCACACGGTTCATCTGGTTTTCTCAACTCAACACCTTGAGGATGGTTAGCAAGCATTCAATCTCATTCCTGCCTCCCTACCTCCTGCCCTAAGTCTGTGTGTGCTAGGAGCAGGTGGCAGTATGCAGAGAGTCTCAAGGGAGGCACAAGACCCCAGAACAGGGTATTCCAGTCAGCCTCCTCCACCAGTTCTTTTTCCTTTACTTGGAGCTTAACTTGCCGCAGCTAACACTGACAAGTGCCTGATCTATGATAAGCCCTGTGCTTAGAGCTGGAGGCAATACAGTTAGAGATGACTTATCCCCAGTCCCTAGGAAGTCTAGTGAGGGGAGCAGGCAAGTCAACAGCCATTGACATCTGAGAGGACCAGGGTCCACGGGGGCACCTACCCTGGACGTGCAGTGCCAGGGAAGATGCTCCCAGAGGAAGTGAGCTCCTTAGCCAGGTAAGGATGAGGAGGAAGAGGGGCATACAGCACAGAATATTTCAGGAGTGGACAGCGGGAAAGGGGGAGCTGTGTGTGGTACAGCATGGCTAGCCTGAGCCTGGAAGAGCAGTTAATGAAGAGAGCAATGGTAGCTAAGAGCAGGATCCCCTTAGGAGTCTACCTTGAGGGCCCCACTGGGGCTGGAATATAGTCAAAGGGTAAGAAGGAGCCACTGGAAGACAAAAGAGGACCCTCACAGGGGCTGAGTTCGATGACCCAGCTGGGCGGCTGTCCTGGATCCTCAACTGCCTCACTCCCCAGAACTGCAGCTGCCCACCTCTGCCCAAGGCTTTGCTATCACCCGAGCAGATCATGTTCTCCTCCTTGCCCAGCAGTCCCCATCCTGCTCACGGCCACCCTTGAAGGGATACGAAAAGACGAAATATGTTCCACTGAGTACTTTGAGCTGCTGAAGGCCAAGTGTGCACAAGGACATTTCAGTGGTAGTGCGGGGCAATGAAGCAGAACAGTTACCCTGGTAATCCCGATTAAAATTCATAAAAACCTACAACTGTCTTTTGAAAGTCTTGGCTGGTCTGAAGGTAGTGAGTTATCTCAACTGATTGTTCACAGTCAGTTGCAGATCGAACTCCTTGTTCTACTCTTTCCCCCCTTCTCACTACTGCACTTGACTAGTCTTAAAAAGGAAAAAAAAAAAAGAAAGTCTTGTAGGATGTGCCTAAGGACTCACCAACCACAGTTCAAAAATGAACTCTCATTTAATCTTTCTGATAAATTCCCATTTTTAAAATGCTCTGGCTGGGCGCGGTGGCTCAAGCCTGTAATCCCAGCACTTTGGGAGGCCGAGACGGGTGGATCACGAGGTCAAGAGATCGAGACCATCCTGGTCAACATGGCGAAACCCCGTCTCTACTAAAACTACAAAAAATTAGCTGGGCATGGAGGCGCATGCCTGTAATCCCAGCTACTCAGGAGGTTGAGGCAGGAGAATTGCCTGAACCTAGGAGGCGGAGGT